GCGATAGCGACGAGGATGATTCATTATCTCTAGATATCAACATGTCTAAGACATATTTGCATCTTTCGGAGGAGAGAAAAAGCCGAGGGTATACGACATTGGAACTTATCCATCCTAGTGTTACTCACATTCCGATGTCGGCTCCTCCTCTACCACTTTACGATATCCTAGTGATAATATCCAAGAGGTTTCTACCCGAGTACAAAGATAAGATCAAGGAGATGGAGGCTACCATCCAACAACAACCCAATCAAGTTAGCTTCAAATAGAGTCAATTACAAATAGTAATGGGGTTGTTACGGAACCTATAGCAACCTTGCATCCCTCTTGTTAACCCTCCTACAACTTAGGAGTCGATCGTTTCTCTCAACACCCGGTAATCGAAAGATGATGCAAAAGATGGTGATAATAAAGATTAAATTTCTTATTTTTAAAACAAAATTTAAAAGTTTTTTTTCATCTTAATGCGGTTATATATTTATTTTATTTCAATTTATATAATTTTAATTTTATTAAATAATATATCATGTTTTAATAAGGTGTTATTTATAATTATTTGTTATTACAATTATCAATATACGACTATTGATTTTTTTTAAAAAAAACTTCTTTTAGCGACGGGATTGCAAGGATATTTAACGACCGAGGCATATACGATTGCTAAATAGTAATAGAATTAGCCATGAAATTACGAGGATCTTAACGATTATAATTTAATGACAACCGTTTCGTCGCTATTTAGCGATCAAAGTAAGTGGAAATAGCGATATAAAACCTAGCATACAAATCACCATTTTAGATCGATTTAGTGAAGAAAATTCAACAAATTAGTGACGGCGAAAAACTTTTGATCGCTTAGGAAATAGCAACTATCATATTAGCGACATAATTCATATTGTCTCTATTCCGTCGCTAATTGTATATAGCGATAGAAAAATCCATCGATTAAAGCTGAAATTCTAGTAGTGTATATTGACTAAAAATGGAGTTGTTGAATCTTTAAATTGTTAATTTGATCCAAACCCATTTGACGTGGTAGTTGAGCATCTCAAAATAATAATAATAATAATAATAATAATAATCACGTTTAATGTAGAAACTCGTGGATTAGCGAACTAAATTAAAGACTTAAAGAGCAAAATCTAGGGTATTGCTTATTTTTGAAGTAAGCTGTCTACTATAAGTAAGCATGTTTAACCATAATGATCAAACTAAATCTTGACACCTTGTCTCTGGGATATGTGCAATGAGCATAATATAGCAGAAAACGATTTCTCCAACTCCAAGCACAAAACAATGCTAGCTTGACCCATGTGTCGAAGACCGGCTTGGAAACTAAAAGTTACTTAGCTCTTAAGGCCACAATGTGAGAATTTAGAAAATAAAATCAATGTTTTGGATGTAATATTTTTTTTATTATTTAGTTGCATATATGCGTGAGATTTATTAATAGCATGTTCATATGCCGATGCTTGAACAATAAAGGTTAAACGTTCCCTTGGTTGCAAACGTTCATGATATACATTTGTCCTAATTAGACAAGATTGCATCATTACGTGGGCTGTATAGTTACAAAACTATTGATATGGAAGATATTGATGATCAATTAAACAAAAAGAAAAAAATTGTGGTTGACGCATTGCCATCACATATATATATATCCTATGATGTAATTGCAAAGAATTTTTTTTTCTTGGCATAATTCTTGTACGTCACTAAGATACCTCATTATATAAAATTCAATATTATGTTATAAACCTACTACAATATATTTTTTTAATCATTCTCACAAATTTCCCATCCTTCAAATTAATTAAAGAGATTCTTTGAGATATGCTTTTAACATATTGTCAATCACTCAAAAGAGTATAGATAAAACACTCTGTCATCCGTCGTATCAAGACTCTTACTCTCCCTTAATTATTCTTTTCTTCCCTTTAAGTATCGCTGTGTTCCATTTTCATTCCAGTTGTATAACCCATGAATAAGTCACGTACGTGCTTCTTTATTCGTCACAAAATCATGGATTTTAGTAAAAGTATATATATATATATATATATTATTCTTAATCGAAAAAATGAGAATCGAGATAAATGATAAATGCTCCATTTGAAATAAGTTAAACTGACGATTAAGAGGAATCCAACATCCCAGCTAAGAAAAATGGACAATAAACCTACTTCTTAAGAATTGTAAACATCATTATAGTCAACCTAAAAAATACAAACTGGCCTAAACATAAGCAATAAAGATTAGTTAGTCTTAATTACAATATTTCAGTCTAGATTCCTAGTTGACTAGTTGAATTTTCGATAAACTAATCCATTACCATTATCTAATTACATCAATAATTAAGCTTTTAACAAAGGATTGATATGATTACTTTGCGGCTTAAAAGATATGTCAGGTCACATGTGACACCACATCGCACTAGCTAGCTAGGAGGCCAGGGTTCTTGATTTTCAGTCTTCACTGTGGTGTCATTTTTCGGTGCCTTAATATAAGCCCGCAATTTAGTGTCAATTTTCGATTTTGCTTGTCTGGTTCAAACACCGTGGATGATAGGCCAATTTTTGCTTGATTGGCTCTTTAATCTACTTGATTTTATAATTGTTGCTTAACCAATAATCTTCTTAATTAAATTGGGATGATTTGAGTTGATAGGCTTTGATGATTAGTCATTGATTGTTGTTTTGTTTGATAAAGCTTGCCTAAAATTAGCCATTTGCTTGTGGGGTTATCAATCAACTTGCGAATCGAGAGAAGCAGATGATCATTCTCTCATTAAATAGACAAAAATCTCTTGTTTGTGTGATCCCCTAACCTACTGACACTTAATTTATATATTTTATTTAACAGCATCTTTTTTTAGTTTTTTTTTTTTTTTTCACTTTCAATAATGCATTGATCTTCACATGCTATTGTCGTAGAGTAATTTTATATCCCTGAAAAAATTTAGTAATTATTAAAAGTAATAAACACGTAAATATAGCAAGTTATATTATTAATTTCAACTTAAATATGGAAGAACGTACACAAGAAATTAATTAATTGAGAAGGCTTATATATTTGTGTGTGTTTATGTCACTCGTTGTTTGTTTTATTAGTAAGGAATAATCAATTAAACAACCAAAGCCATCTTTGGTAGGTTTTATTAAAACCCTTGATATCGATCACTCCAACAATTACTATTAATTTCTCTTAATTATTTATCCACATTCTAGGTATCGAACTTAATTTGTCATATCATGATTTGGACATGAGAATTAATTGCCTTATGCGTAATTAGCTAATATTTAAAACTTTTTTTTTTATGAAGTGATGATTCCAAATGCAAATTATATATGAAGTAGAGGGTTGATTTCACACAATAAAGCTGCCTACAAATTAGATAATTTAGTCAGATTTAGACCATCATCATCGATAAATATATCATATCATGTGTTGTATAATATGAATCATGCATATGATAGAAACTGTTCGAGCACTAAAATGGACCATAGATCAGAATATATAGGAAGCACGATCGATAGTGCATGCGCATACCTGCAACTTACCTAATCAATTTGGGTGGCAGAGACAGATGTTAGTTTGAGGCATTAATTATAAATATAAGATATGTATAATCATGATCATGTCAACATTGTTTTAGGTGAACATCTAGAAAGAAAGACCTCTCCCCGTAACCTTATTAATTATATTCCAATCAAATTTATGTAGGATAATGGAATTGATCGTTTAATTGGTTTGAATAAATGAAACCGGCCGTCTTGACAGTTTCTTTTTTTTTTTTTTAATCATTTGTGTGGCCAGATTAACTGCCGGATTATATGCATATTCTTTTCTCAAATGATTTATATGTGACCTCTTCTCTTATTTATTTATTTATGACGGTCGACTTGTAAAACTGGTTGAACTTTCTCAATAAATTTTTTAAAAAATATATATATATATCTATTATAGAAATAAATAAATAAGATATTTTGAGCTGAACAGTTTGGACTACAAGTCCAAAACTAAGAAGATTTTGGACTAAAGACAGCAGCCTCAACAAGCATATTCCACGCATATACCACACTCTATATACTTACAGAACCAGCCTCATATAAATGATTAATTAACACTTGTAACCTAGTTACATTCTAATCTTAAGATATTAAGTGCACATTCAAATTCAAACTTCAGGTTTTTTTTTTTTTTAATATCTCATATAGAGTTAATTCCTAATATGAAACTGATCATATTGTAATTAATATTCAAAGAAAACATTGGATGACAAGGCACAACTGTTGCATACAACAGTACTAATAGTACAAAACTTCTCCCTTAATTATGTCATGACTAATTAAACTGGACTCACCTTAAACCCAGAAAATCTCAAATTTCGCAATATCTTTCATAAAAAGGGGTACTAGCATAAGGCATCAACGTGCACAAGAATTTAAAATATATATATATATATATATATATATATATAAAATAAAAATGTATATATATATATATATATATATATATATTTAAAATAAAAATGTAAGCAATAACTGGGCAAAAGGATCTCTGTGGGTTCCAAGATCCAAATGGTGGTGGCTTCTGTGCTAAATTTCAAATTCGATTCTTTCATTTCCTCCATTTGTATTAACCTTCTTATTAATTTCTTATTAATTTCCCATGATTTCTCAAGAACCAACCATAAATTATAATCCTAAACAAAAATAAAATAAAATAAAATAAAAATAACAAGTAATTTTCTATTTTTTCCATTGCTGTTTCAGTCACTGTTTTTACAACTGACAAAAAAAAAAAAAACCCTAAAATTTCTCTCTGCCTTTTCAACTTCTCCTTTCGCTGTAATCTTCACCATCATGGTCACAAAAGATGGAAAAAGGTATATTTACAAAAAAAAAAAAAAAAAAAAAAGGATCTCTTGATATTGCCAATATATTTCAAGGATCTATAAAAAGCTCCCCAAATATGAAAAATTGACCCCCATGTAATTAATTTCACAAACAGTCCTCAGAAGAGAACAAAGAACCAAGTAGATCCTCAAGGTCACGTGACTCAAGCCCGAGTCTGAGCGACTCCATAACTCGTTCAAAAACCAGCACGTGACAAGGAATTCTTAGCACTCCTCTCTGCTCATACCCATACTCTTGAGCCGACTTGTTCAGAAGCCATATAAATACCGGGTGGTTCAAAAGCTCAGCACTCACCGTAAACCGCTCCATCTCATCTCCAACATACACCGGCACATGTCCCTCCGGCACTGGCTTATTGGCTCCTCGCCGGCGCGTCGACCTTAAGCTTCCGGAGCTCCGGCGAGATGTGGCTGTGGTGGATCGAGAGTTGGAGCGTAGCAGACTATATTGAGAAGAGTCTGCAACCCTCGAGAGACGGCGAATTAGCTGCTTCATTTTAAAAAGATTCAATTGCGTAGCGACAAGAACTTAAATTAAGAAGACGATAAGAGAATCCAAAATTGATTTGAGTGGTGGATAGTTAAGAGGAAGAGGGTTTTACTTGTTTTTTGTTGTTGTTGGTAGGAGGAAATATAGAAGGCTTCAAGAGTTCAAGATTGGAGAGTTCTTGAGAGGGAAAGAGAGGGAGTGGGGAGAGTAGGAAGAGAGGGGGAATATATAAATAGAGAGAAAGAGAAGGGTAGACATGGAAAGGTGATGATAGAAGAGAGAGAGAGAGAGAGACGGTACAGGTAGGAGTACTTGCCAGGTACAATTAGTGAATAAGATAGAGAGATATGTTACAATAATGGTTTTCTTTTTTTTTCTTTTCTTTTTGTTCTGTTTTGTGTACTTATTTATTTGTTGTTACTAGTAATGGTAAATTATTGTTATTATTATTATTATTATTCTCCTTTTTGAGAGAGAAAGGTAGTTTTTTTTTTTAGAGGAATTGGTGGGGGTGAGTGAGAGGAGATGCTTTTTGTGTGAGATGATATTAAATTATTGAAGCTGAGTTGACTCCTTGGCTAGTTCGAGCTTCCGGCAGGAGAATTAGAAGGGCTGAAGTTGAAGATTTTTAGATGAACGGTTAGAAAAAGAGATTTGAGTCCGATCGCTCATGATGAATTGATCTGGTAATAAAATTATTTTTCTTAAAAAACAAACAGCTGTTATGCAGTTACAGAAGAATTTATTTCTTTTAATTTTCATATATATATATATATATATATATATATATATAAGAGGAAAAAGATGTAAGGATGATGGAACAATAAAACAAAATAAAAATAAAAATAACAGAAAAAGCTGTTTATAGAATAATAAAACAAAAAGAAAAATGATCGTAATACTTGTATTGTGAATTTAGAGAGTGATTTAATATTACTACCAACTGATGTAATAAAACTACTTAAAAATAAGTGTTATTTAATTTGATCTTAAATTTGTTATTTATGTGTTATTTCTATATTTTATTACATAAATATTTACAGGATATCTTAAAATACATATTAATAGACTAATGGTACCGTTTAATATTAGAATTCAATCTCACGAAATAAACAACATCAGAATTCAATTATGAGAAAAAAGAAAAAGAAAAGTAATACTCTTATAAAGATTCAAATTCAAATCTTTTTAAATATTAATTTACTTTCAAATTTTAAAAACTAAAATTGATTAAAAAAAAATGTAAAACGACTATACACCTCGTAGCTATAAATAGAACTTCATGTTTATTAGGCTCTTCTTCGTGGTTTTTTTTTTTTTTTCAGGCTTGCAAATGATCATTGGGAAAGCTTTCTATAAAACTGTATATCTCAGCATCTAAAATCAAGACCTCCAAATAAGATTATATTTGTAATTATTTAGTTAATTTATATTTTTTTCTGAAGTGCAAGAATCCATTATACTTTACTTAATTTATTTTATGGAGTTTATTCTTCCAATACTTGGAAAAAAAAAAAAAAACTAGAAAACAAAACAGAATTTTATTTATTTATTTGTGCGATGCCCACTAATCTCTATTCCATTTCCATGTACTTTTTATCATGCTCATACAAAAGGGCGGAATTAGAACTTAGAGGTGAACCATCCAAGAGAAGTAAAGATAAGCCAAATATTTTATAGGTGATTAATGCAAGTTGATATTGGTGATGGAGTTCTGCTACATAGATATTGTCAATGAGTTTCTTAGCATTTTCGAAGGGAAGAAAGCAAATGATATTTTGACCTGTAAAATACTCATCAGGATTGTTTTATTCTTTAATTCTTTGTATTCAAAACGTGTATTTAAAAGAATATAATTGTTTCAAAAAATGTTGATCACCATTAGTGTACGTATAAATTATTTCAAAAATATATTTAACATCAAACTAAAAAAATAAAACAGATTTAATGGCCACATTTTTTTCCAACTCAAATTAATTCAAGCACTCCTGACCAATAATTTGCTTTTTTTACTACTTCATAATTATATTATGCTCCTATTATTAAACTATCTCTTCAACATTCTTATTCAAAATAAAAATAAATAAATCATCAACATTCTTACTGCTCCCCGCAACATCTTCCATTTTAATTTTAGCAAGGTTCAACATGAATCTTCCATATTTTTCCTACCAAACAATAACTTTTTGTTTCGATTTTTTTAGTTTTAACCATCAAAATATTAACAATCAATTTTCGCATATTAAAATTAAGAGTAATGTTATACAAAAGAAATTTTCATATATATATATATATCACATGCGACAATTATTTACTTTTATAGGAGACCAATTTTTATTGTTCATGAGACCTATAATTTGTTAATAATTAGTTGATGCATTATTATTATTATTATTATTATTATTATTATTATATATACAATTATTTACTTTAATAGGAGACCAATTTTTATTGTCCATGAGACCTATAATTTGTTAATAATTAGTTGATGCATTATTTTGTATAAAAATTGAGTATAGAAAGTTTGTTTGTAGGTAATTATTTCAAAATTAATCAAGTCTTTCTTCAATCAGGATATTGTAAATAAGTTATTCACGATTGATGACGAACATGGAAGAATTAATTAAATTTTAAGATTGAAAGGACAAACTAAGCATTTTCAAAATAATTTCGAGAAAACAAGTTCCTAAAACTTGTTTTTCTCATTTTTTAGTGTTTGTTTCGTATTTAGGAAAAAAGTCAAAGGAAAATAATTTTCAATCGGGGAAAAATGATAGAATATTTTTAAGAAAATGTTTTTTCAGTTAAAAAAGAGAAAAACATTTTCTTTCTCACGAACTCGTCTTGTTACGGTATTACTTACCTCTCTCTCGATATATTTTAACAATTTTTTCTCTATCTTCTATTTATTTAAAATATATCAAATTAATTTTTAATTATTTCTTATTAATTATTATCAATTATTTAATTATTTTTTCTCTATTTCGACTAATATTTGATTTTTTTGATTTATAGATACATTAAATATTCTTAAAAACCATTTTTACACCTTAAAATTATTTTTATAATAAATATTTCAATAATTTATCTTCTTTTTTACTATTATCTCAAACACCACCTAAACTATACTTAAATGATTGAAAATGATTATTACTAGATTGTAATTTTTTATAAAAAAAAAAATTGAAATTAACTAATTCATTAATAAATATATTATTTTTAGAATACTATTCATTTGAAACTAAATCAATAATTTATAATTTTAATCAATTATAAAATTTTATTGGTAATTGTAATGAATAATTAGTTACAAATTATTTCAATATTAATTTTTTGAAATCAAATAAATAATTATTTATAAATGATAACTAATAATTTATGAAATTATTTTTTAGACTAAATTATGAGTTCAATTTTCAAAAAAAAAAAAATTCTTAATTGAGTTACCAAAATAACAATACTAGGATTACTTAATTTTTTACTAAATGTAAATATTGACTTGATTTTGTTCCAAGTAATTTTGATGAATTAGTTTGATGGTTAAAAAAGTAAATTTTATTTTTTGAATTAAAATTTTAGAGTCAGTATTTATGAACATTTATTAAATCTTTTTAAATTTATCTTATATTGTAAAATTATAAATATACATTTTTAAGGTTTTCTCGAAATTTTGTTGATGTAATAATCACATATTGCTTTTACATTTTAATTTTCTGTATCAAATAAATGTTAGAATATATTTGTGGCTTTTGTAATTATTAAATAATAAAAAATATTTTCTTAAAAAATAATTTTTTAAAAAATAATTTTTTTTTATGAAAGTTGTTTTTTTGTTAAACAAATGAAGCTTAAAAGATGATGGTAGGTAAGCTGAACACAAAAAAGAAACGGAGAGAAGGAAAAAAATAGGAAAGAGGAAGGACAAAAGGAAAGTGACGAAAACGTTGGCAATTGCGCGATTACCGGATGGTTGTCATGTCCGTAGTCCGTTGCTAGTACAGTTCCGTGACACTAATTCTTCTCTTCCTTTTTCAAAAAAAGCCTTTGTCTTCTAACTCATTCTTTATTATGTTTCCCTACGTGTCACTTTAGCCTGCAAATTAAATTTTTCACTTTCTTTTGTCCATGTTAATTGCACCTCCCAATTGAATCAATTTTCATCGTGTTGTTTACTTCACGTTTTGCATTTGAGAGTTGGATTTGGGTTAGCCTTTTGGGAGATGGATAAAAAGAAGTGGTTTTCATGTTTCTTTCTTTTGGGTTTAAAGTGGAATCTAAGCAACTTGGAGGTGGATAAATCCACATGAATGATGTTTTCAAATTTGTGCATGGAGCCACAAATTTGGCCAATGGTTTTCGTCTCTTTTGTATCATTTTTATAGAAGGAAGTTACTTTAATGCATCTTTTGGCATTTGGGGTTTGGTTTCGTGTGTACGTAGGAGCTTCATGAAAAAAGTACCGAATTGACGTCCGAAAGAGCAATGGACACGGAACTAGTGTTCCAAAGTTCCACAATTTTTCTGGGATGCCTATTAAGATGAGTGATTGCGAGTAAAATTAGCAATTTTTTTATGAACCAATCAAATTGTGACAACGTCTCACATGTGTAAATATGAACAAATTTTAGCTGTAGCTGCTCACAAATATGTAAGTAGAGAAAATTTTGTATTGTTAATGGAAACAAAAGTGAATTAAAGAACTCTCTTTTTTATGCAAATTTGCAATAGAACAAGGGATGAGATGCAATTGTGAAGGAAAGAGTGGGAAATTCTCTTTTATATCCTCGATCCAATGGTTATTTTTCGCATGTTATGTTTACCTGATTTGTAATTTCCAACTCTTAGCTATGCTAGAAAGCTATCCATTAGGATTTAAATTAAATTCTATTGTAGAGTTTCTCAACACTTGATCGTTTAGGGTTTTCGATTGTACGACAAGTCGGTATGTCAGGAAATATAATTCTGAATGATATCTAAATCTACGCCAAATGAATAATTAAATTGTT